AAATGCCCCGCCCCGAGTGGCAGAACAGACCCCAGCATGCTAGACCCCAGCCCTGCACTCCACTTATACTGATTTTTAATCTGCCCCCAGCCTGTGTCTCCCTCCTAATCCCTTTTTTCTCCTCAGCATCTTTTTCCACTTTTCCCATCTCCCCACCTTCCTCCCTTTACGGTATTCCAACATCCCTGGTTCTCCTTTTACTTTCCTGATCAGTCCCTCTCTGCTTCCTTCAATCGCTTCTGCCCCTTTCTGCTCATAAGTGATTGGTCTTCCTCATTGTTTAGACCTCAGGTCTTCATTTACATCCCCTTAATCAGATAGGTGGAACCATTAAACAAACGATTCTCTCCTTTGTGTTTGCTCCCCAATCTGTATTCTTGACCATTGGGAGCAGACCCTCATTTCATTCACTCAACAAAAATTTACTGAGTGCCTACCTTTAGGCTGGGTGCTGGGGATACAGAGGTAATCAAGGTGAACTTCTGGCCTCAAGGTTGAAGTACAGAGGAGAAATGATGACAATATATGACACTGGGATACATGGCTTTCTGGAGGAAAGCCAAGGAAGGTTTCAGAGGAGGGTGAACTTTATTGAAGAATGAATAGGAGTCCTCTGTTTTCCTAGACTGAGGATAGCACCAAAGAATGAAACAGCACTGTGTATTCTGGGCATAGTAGTTAGGTATTTGACTAAGACTTGAGTGGAGAAGATAGAAGATAAAGAAGAGACAGGAGAGGAAAGGTAGGAGGTTTTGTTCACCCTGAAAAGGGGTTTGAACTTGACGGTGGGGGCAACAAAGAACCAGTGACTTTGGGGTGGGAGCAATAAGGTTGAATTTTTTGTATTGTACTGTGCCTTCCATATAAGAGAAGAGAAGGAGCAGAAAGATCAGTCAGGGTGATGGTGGTCTGGACCAAATTGGCAGCAGGACAGGTGAAGAAAATCAGATGAATATGAATTTAGGAGGTCAAAACACCAATGTTGGTAACTAACTGGATAAAGGGGGCTGAACGAGAGAAAGAATCAAGCATGATTTCCAGGATTCTGATAGGAGTGACAGAGTGGCTAATAAGAACATTCACTGGGATGAGAAAGTTAAAAGGAGCATGTTTGGACATTCTGATCTTGTGAGCTGCTCCATCCAGGCGGTAGCTGAACACTCGGATATGGAGTTTCAGAGAGAGGCCAGGGTTGGATGCAACGAAGCCTTAGAAAGATAGAACGGCCAGGGGTAGTGGGCCAGAGACTACCCTGGCCAGATCCGCAGGCGGGTTCTCGCTCCACCTGCAGGTGGCACTACAGACCCGCGCTTCTGAGCCCGGTTTTCAGAGCCGCACGTGTGCTCTTGTACTCGCAGTGTTCTGTTTCTCCCTTGACATGCAGGCTTTAGCTGAGGATTCAAACCTGGAACGGCCTCCAGAGACCGTATCCAAGTCATCTACGGGGCCACTACATGGGTGGCAGCTCAGGGACCTCAGGGCTGATGGCGTGGTTGGTGTGACCACCTGTCCTTCCGGCCTCCTCCAGGAACCAAGAGAAGGCCCAGGTAGGCAGTGCAGGGAGCAGGGAGGCATGGAAAGCCACCAAGCCCAGACGCCCGAATTGCTAGAAACGGAATTTCCTGTCCTTTAGGACTGCCCCCGCGTGGGAAACGTGTCGCGGATCCTTTAAGGCTCCATCTCCTTGCCCTCCCCTGCCCGGGACAGGCCGGGACACCCGGGACCTGACATTTGGCGTCTCTCAACGTGGGATCTAAAAATAACTGCCATGGGTTACTTTAGGCCATTGTTCCTCACGCACTCAGTGCGCCAGCTCGCATACCACGTCATGCGATAACTTATCTCCCGGGTGAGTATACCTGGCCCATACCCTCCTCTGCTCGGACCCCGCTGTCTCAACCCATGATTCAGACTTTTAAGTCGCCTCTTCAGCCCCAAACCTTGGCTACTGGGCGGAGTCTTCACAGAAGGGGGACGGGGCCTTCAGTGCTCCAAGGAATTTTTCTCAAAACTTCCCAGCAGGAGGCTGGCGGGAACCCGGGCCTCGCAGGTCAACCCAATAACTGGTGCCAAACTCTAAACCTCAGGCTTAAGGAGAGGGCGTGGTCTTCTGGGAGTGTGCGGCCAATGGGTGCTGTGAAGGGCGTGGCCCGTGGAGTTACGGGGGGACCCTCGGGTTTTTCCCCCAAGCCGGGCTCCAGATCCCCGGGAGCCTTGCTGCTCTCCGGCTCCTTAGCTTGTGGCTGTTGGTCACACTAGGCCTGCCCTCCGCACTTCGCTCCTGGACCCCCGTCGTCCCCGCGTCCTCTGGCCGCCAGGCCCCAGTCTGCTCTCCTTAACTTCAGCTCCTGTTCTTCCAGCTCTTAAGACAAGATGCCGTCGGGCTTCCAACAGATCGGCTCAGAAGTAGGGTTCAGCATGTGGTGGCGGGCCGGGGCACGGGTCTCACTTTTCGCGGGCTGGGGTCACTGTTGGGGTCAGCTACTGGGCAGTCCCTGCTTAGCGGGTGGGGGTTAAGGGCCTGGCTATTTACACTCGGGCTGGACAACCTGTGACTGTCGGATTCCAGTCCTCCAACAGGCTGAGTGAATCTGGGGAACCGTTCAGGGGAACGGGCCACAACTGGATTTTGTGAGACCAGGGTTCGCCCCCTTCTCTAGTACACGGCGTTGCGTCGGGATCAGGGTCACCCTGCTTTCCATCAAGCTTGAGAAAGGGGATCCAGGCAGGTCTTGGCCTCCAGCAGCTGTCGGTCTGTCACGGCTCTCTGGAAGTTTTTCGAGGACCAGAGGCTCTCTGTTGGCCCCTACCCCCACTCCTGGCCGTTCTTCAGGACGCTGAACTTTCCCTTGGCCCCATGGTTGGTGTTGGGGCAGAGAGGAGTGGCAGTCCCCTCCCTCCCCCAGCTCAAGTTTCCGCTTAGAGACAGTCTGTGCCGCCAGCTAGCGGCCACCAGAGCCACCGCCCCTCACACCACCTTCCCGCCCCCATCCCTTGGGCATGGCTCTCCCCAGCAAAAGTCGGGCATGGCCCATCTCCCCCACCCCCTTTCGTTGGGGCTTAGAGGGGGAGGGAAGGCCGGGGCGGAGAAAAAGAAGGCCACCGCCAGGGCCATAGGCTGGGAGGAATGACCCCGATGTCCTTTTTGGAACTGCTCTTCTTGCGCCTGTTGAGGGCCTCCAGGAGACCGGCTGAGAGAACCCCGGGGAAGGGAAGAAGACAGAAGCTGATGATAATAATACACTTGTCAGTTTATGAAATCAGCACTGTTGGGGGTACTGTTAACATTTGATTTTGACTATTACACTTTCACTGACAGATAGGCAAAGCAGGCAACATACCTCTATCTCCTCTAAAAGAAATCTAGGTTCAGAATGGGGAAGTTACTTGCCCAAGGTCGCACAAATCTGAATTCAGATCTCTTAAGGCCAAGCCTGTCCCAAGGTCACAGAGGAATTGTGAGACCTAGGTCCTCAAACATTCCTCTGCCAGCTGGACTCAAATATCCAATTTCTCTTTCATGCCCTGGTTACTGTGGGGTTCTTTCTGCTCCTGTTTACACCAAAGTCTTTCTGAAAGTCCTAACATGGCCCACTTTCCCTCACCCAACATGTTGGATGGAACTCAGTATCATAAAGCTCTGACTGGGCCCAGGCTCAGGACCCTGGAGGAAGGAAAGAAACCACAATTCCACGTGACATTCCTCCTCTCTGCTTCTGTCTGCTCAGGAAGGGGAACCCCCTCAGCAACGAGTCACTGGGACACTGGTCCTCTCTGTATTCTCTGCTGTGCTTGGCTCCCTGCAGTTTGGCTACAACATTGGGGTCATCAATGCTCCACAAAAGGTGAGAGACCTGCGACTGGTAGAGTGGAAGTACCCAAAAAAGGAGGGCAGGGGACAGAAGGGACTAGCAGAGAGGGAAGGGTCTGCAGGGATTCACTCTATGCTATCCCCCACCCCCACCCCAGGTGATTGAACAGAGCTACAATGAGACATGGCTGGGGAGGCAGGGGCCTGAGGGACCAAGCTCCATCCCCACAGGCACCCTCACCACCCTCTGGGCTCTCTCTGTGGCCATCTTTTCTGTGGGCGGCATGATCTCCTCCTTCCTCATCGGCGTCATCTCTCAGTGGCTGGGAAGGTATGAGGCTGGAGGACAAGGGTGGGGAACATGAAGGAGGAGCCACATCACAGGCACCTAACTCTCACAGCCCCTCTCTCTGCCTGTCAGGAAGAGAGCAATGCTGGTCAACAACACCCTAGCAGTGCTGGGGGGCACCCTCATGGGCCTGGCCAATGCTGCTTCTTCCTATGAGATGCTCATTCTTGGACGGTTCCTCATTGGCGCCTACTCAGGTACCCACAGGCACTATGGCCCTGCCAGTGCCCAGCTCTCCTCCTCCATCTTGAGTGTGGCAGGAGAAAATGGGCAGCTGCCTCAGCCCTCTCTTCTTCCCTCTGCTCAGGGCTGACGTCAGGACTTGTGCCCATGTATGTGGGGGAGATCTCCCCCACTCACTTGCGGGGCGCCTTGGGGACACTTAACCAACTGGCCATCGTCATTGGCATTCTGATTGCCCAGGTTAGTGGGCCTGGCCTCATGGGGGAATAGGCAGAGGATTGGGGTGGGGCTCTGGAGAACAGGTTGAATAGCCTAACCTCCTTCTCCCACAGGTGCTGGGCTTGGAGTCCATGTTGGGCACTGCCATCCTATGGCCACTACTCCTGGGCATCACAGTGCTGCCTGCCCTCCTGCAACTGGTCCTGCTGCCCTTCTGCCCAGAAAGCCCCCGCTACCTCTACATCATTCGGAATCTGGAAGGCCCTGCCAAAAAGAGTGAGTGAACTTCCACACCATCTTGCTAGTGCCTGTTCCCCTCCCAGGTCCTCTCCCTGCCTTCTCAAGCCTGACTCTCCACACTTCCAGGTCTGAAGCGCCTGACAGGCTGGGCTGATGTGTCTGGAGCACTGGCTGAGCTGAAGGAGGAGAAGCGGAAGCTGGAGCGGGAGCGGCCACTGTCCTTGCTGCAGCTCTTGGGCAGCCGTACCCACCGGCAGCCCCTAGTCATTGCAATTGTGCTGCAGCTGAGCCAGCAGCTCTCAGGCATCAATGCTGTATGTGTGCAGCAGCCTCTTGGAAGGGCAGGGTTAGGGAACAGCCCAAGAAGAGGGGAGAAGGGAACAAATCCCCTCCCTTAAAATTCAGGGTCAGTCCAGCTTGGTATGGCTGCAGGGGAGGAGGGAACATCCCTGCCATCCCCTTTTCTTCTCCCTCACTTCTAGGTTTTCTATTATTCAACAAGCATCTTCGAGACTGCAGGGGTAGGGCAGCCAGCCTATGCCACCATAGGAGCTGGTGTAGTCAACACAGTCTTCACCTTGGTCTCGGTAACTGCTGGCCTCTGGAATGGCCTCCACCATTGGCTTCACATCCCTTGATTGTCTCCACCCACCCCATGCCTCCCACTTCCTATGTCCTGAAGCCTCTGCCCCCCCCACTCCACCCCAACCAAGCCCTGACTCTCACCCTAGGTGTTCTTGGTGGAACGGGCTGGGCGCCGGACACTTCATCTCCTGGGCCTGGCAGGAATGTGTGGCTGTGCAATCTTGATGACTGTGGCTCTGCTTCTGCTGGTGAGGCCTGGGGAGTGGTAAGGGAACCAGTGGCCTAACCCATGGGGACTACCCCAAGAGGCTCTGTGGCCAGCCAGGGCCATGCCTCAACATATGTGCCTTTGATCTCAGGTGCCACCTTGTGTGCTAGGACAATAATCTGTGCTCCCGAGGGACCCAGGCTCTACTCCTTCCCGCTCAAGGAAGAAGTTGTAGCACAACTCTGGCAGCCAGGAAGGAGGGACACTGTCCAGCCCCAGAAACAATCATTCCTAAGGACCCAGCTTTAGAACCAAGGGAGAACTGCCCACCTTAATAGCTGAGAGTCCCTAACATTCCCTCTGCCTTGAATCGGCACAGAGCAGCCAGATGAATGTCAGTGCTCAGAAATTCTCAAGGGCCTGTTTTAACCTAGAGTGGCAGGCTCCCCCATGAGCTGCTGAGAAGGGTAGATTTCAGTTCTCTGGGTTGAGGGCAAAGGAAGATCCAGAAAGACCTGACCTGAATCCTACCCTCCCTGCCTGTCCCCCAGGAGCGGTTTCCAGCCATGAGCTATGTCTCTATCATAGCCATCTTCGGCTTTGTGGCATTCTTTGAGATTGGCCCTGGCCCCATCCCCTGGTTCATTGTGGCCGAGCTCTTCAGCCAGGGTCCCCGCCCAGCAGCCATGGCTGTGGCTAGTTTCTCCAACTGGACGTGCAACTTCCTCATTGGCATGAGTTTCCAGTATATTGCGGTAGGTGGCCTGCCCCTATCCCAGTCTTTCACACCATAGGCCAGGCGGGGGCAACTCACAGCTAGCCCACTGGCTTTCCAGTCAGGCACTTCCCAGCCCACAGACTACTAGTCTAGGGATCACTTTGGTGGACCGCATGGGCCCTGGAGACCACCTGTTCACCAGAATCAAAGGAAAGAAGGGAGCTAAACCAGATCCCATAGCAACAGAACTGCTAGTGGCATACTTTATTTAAACTAGTAATAAAATTATAACCTTCATATTAATATTGCAAACAGTTGGGAATCCACTCTGAGTATAGTAACTCAGGATGATGAAGGCAAAAAACTACAGGAGAGTTGGGGTTCAGAGAATCCTTTTCACTAAATTCTCATTCCTCGTAATTTCCATTGCCCAGTAAAGGAGCCACCTGTTCTCTGCAGTATCCCAGCTCCCTATGGGGGACTTTAGTTTCTGGCATGCCTGAGACTCGCTCTCCCCTCCTCTTCCCTCTGTCAACATCTCTTTCTCCGCCTGTCCCAGGATGCTATGGGTCCCTATGTCTTCCTTCTATTTGCGGTCCTCCTGCTCAGCTTCTTCATCTTCACCTTCTTAAAAGTGCCTGAAACCCGAGGCCGGACGTTTGACCAGATCTCAGCCGCCTTCCACCGGACACCCTCTCTTTTAGAGCAGGAGGTGAAGCCCAGCACGGAACTTGAGTACTTGGGGCCAGATGAGAATGACTGAGGGGCAAGACAGGGATTGGAGAGCCACTGCTGTGTCCCCAGAGACCCCCTCCTTTCCTCTGCAGCACTTTAACCCTCTCTTCCCCATCACTTCCAGGGTAGAAAAAGCCCCTGCAGCCTGGTGGAATTGGGAAACTGGAGGGAGGGGCGGTCTGAGCACCACCTCATTCCCCTTATGTGACTCTCTTGGATTATTTATGTGTTGTGGTTAGGTTGTGGCCATCAGGGTGAACAGTCCCCTCAGCCTCCTCTTCCTTCCTCCATAGCCTACCCCATCCCCACTCCCACCCAACCTAAGCACCAGAATACTTTCCCCCTCCCCTGTACCCTGAGAGAAGGGGGATTAGAGGGAGGAAAGGCTCTAGGACTGACTTCAGTGGGGGTGAACTGAAACAGAGCAGGACTAGAGAAATCAAGTTTCCTGCCATTTTGGACTCCTCCCACTCTCTGGCACTTTGAATTCTTGCCACATAGACTGTGGGTAAAGAGGGTTCTGTCTTGATACCTCCATGGCAAAGGATATGCCCTCCCAACATCTAACTCACGCCTCTCACTGCAGGCTCAGTCCTCTCGCTCAACCTTCCAGGGCAAGAGGGAACATGTGCCCATATGTGGCTAGAGGGACAGCAAGCTCCCGCCTCTAGACTTAAGGCTCTGGGCCCTACCCCAACTGCTTCTCAAGGCTGCCAAATGGGGGCCCCAGCTCCTCTCCCATCCTGGAAGGGTGTTGTATCCACAGGCTTTTGACCAA